GTATGGGCCCAGCTGGGTTCTACTTTATAGTATGCTCTTTTTACTCACTGGGGTTTATGCCTAAAGTCAGACTTGAGTTCATGTGTAGGTATGTGTCAGCTGCGATAACTATTGGATGGATATATTTAGACTAAGTTCACTGACAGATCATTTGGGGATGGGGGAGGCACGGAGGGCAATCGTGGATGCCAGGGACAATGTGGGAGGAGGATGGGTCATAACAGAGGGAGGGGGATGGGGAATCTAGGATGGCAAAACAAAAGGCAAGGTATGCAGGACACAAGAATTGGGAAACTATTTGCTGAGAACATATATGGTGATGTGCTTGATTGAGCCAATGCACAGTGTATTTTGGATGGAAAATTCATTTGTGTGTTGTGATGGGGAAAAAAAATTATAATAAAAAATAAACTATAAAAAAAAAGAGAGAGAAGAGGATAGAGAAAGATAGCAAGTGAACAATAGAGAGGCAGGATGTTAGTGAGAAACAGATATGGTTTATTATCTGTTGATGATGACGTGTATAGTATTCTCAACTGGACTGGTCTGGGAAGTATTTCATGATGGGTGAAGTCTTTTAACAAGCAAAATGAGAAATAGTGATTGACTGTTTTTTTAAAAAAATAATAATAATAATTATTGGGAAATGCATGGAAAAGACATTGAATGATAAAGCGGGGAGATTGATGTCTCTGTATTGACTGATATGCATGGCATTCCCTTTTGAAAAAGCAATGGAAGTCAATGTAAAGTTATATGTAATCCAATGTAATATAAAGAAGATTATGATGATAATAAAAAAAAGGGGGGGAAAAGGGGGTAGTGGGTTGAGATTGAGCAAGATCCTCACTTTTTATTGAATACAATGGAAACAGGATACTCTGATACAAAATCTTTCATTACAGCAAATTATACATACCTTTGTTCCACCCCCAACACTCTGTTGCTTCCTGCTCATTTATTTCCTGGCTTGTTGGGCCTACCGATGAAGGAGCATGTAGATCTTCTTTTTAACCCAGCCTTTGTTATAGAGCTGGTTTGTCTGGGTGTCAGCTTGGTAAACAAGGCCACTGAGGTCTGCCAGATAGTTAACAAAATCAAACAACCGAGTGATATCGTATATGATGGAAGGACTGTTGGGATTCATTCTCTTTAGATGTTCTTCATACATTTTACAATCACTTTCCATGCATTCGTTCACAGATTCATAGTCAGCTTAAGTTCTGCCTTCTGGTCTCTTAGTGGGTTGTACCAGCAAAATAGTGTGAGACATCATACCAAACTCTTATCACTCTTTTTTTTTTTTTTTCTGGACCTCTCTCTCTCTCTCTTTTCTTTCTCTCAAATACACACACACGCACGCACACACACACACGCACCTGGTGTGTTCCCCAAGCTGCTGGGCTCAGGACTCGAACTGTGTAGTCAGCTGTGTGGGATCCAGCTGCCCCAACCAACTTGTCATTGACTGACCCCTTTCATTTTTTGAATTGTGTTAAGCATTGTCATTAAGGTTTAAAACCTCACCATTTTTTGAAATCAGATGAGCAAAGCAACTAACAAAGCCATATCTTTTATTTTTTAAGAAAAAGTTACTGAAGTGCTAATGAAATGCAAAGTCACTAGTAGTACAACTAAGCTAATTTATAATCTTAGATTGTCAATTGTATTCCCCAAGTGATCTGTATTTAATGTATGTTTCCAATAGGTTCATTCCAGCCAACAAATGAAATGATGCTCAAGTTCTATAGCTTCTATAAGCAGGCAACGGAAGGACCCTGTAAACTTTCAAGACCTGGATTCTGGGATCCCATTGGAAGATATAAATGGTAATTTTATATAGAGATATGTGAAAGAATTTAGTTTTTTCATTTTTAAGACAGAATCTTGCTTTGTTGTAATCCTTCACCTTTGCTTTCCTAAGTAGTTGTAAGTATGGGTTCATTTTTCCACACCTGGGTTTTTAGGGTGGGCAGGAATCTAATGCAGGTCTCCTGTGTGACCTCAGTTTGCAGATTAGCAGTGCTTACCAACACGTCCCGCCATGTGTGGGCTAAGAATTTTAATTTGAATGACATAATTATCATCAGCTATTATGTGTTTATGTACAAGGAATCTTCAAAAAGTTCATGGAAAATGTGGATTCACAAACCGAATAGATTTAAAACATTTTTTGCACCAAAATAAACTTGTAATTTAATTCCATTTTCCCATGAACTCTTTGAAGTCCCCTCATATTATTCTGTGCATAAAATGTCCTAGGTACTGGATACAATTTTTATCCTCCTGTAATTCTTTTTATTTTTTTAGTGAATGAACTTTTATTTATTTTATTTTTTGGAGAGGTTTTTTTTTTTGCTATAGGGCGCATGCTCTCGCCAGACAGAGAGAGAGAGAGACAGAGAGACAGAAAGCGAGAAATCACCCTCCAGGGGGTATGGCCATGCTGCAATCCCTTCTCCTCCTTTCTCTTCTTGGGATCTTGGGCATGCATGCACGCACACGCACCTGGCGTGAGTTTTAAGCCACCGGCTCCAGAACGCGAACCGCGGTTGACTACATGGGAGTACAACGACATAGCCATTACGCTAACTGCTGGTCCCAATGAACCTTTTTTTTAAAATTTCAATGTATTTTATACATTCAATCACATATGTCACTTAGCTTGCAAAGTGACTAATATTCCAACATATATACATTTCTCACCAGTCCATTTGAGAATATTATACATGATATTTTCAACAGATAATAGCCCATTTCTTTGTCCTATAAATACCTTGCCTATTTTTCTTAATATCCTTCCTCATACTCTCCTCCTTCACCCATCCTCTTCCCACACTGTATCTGGTATTTATAACCATTTTCTATGTTTCTATAACCTCTAGTCATTTAGTTTCACCTATAGAGTGCAGACACTCAGTATATATTAAATGAAGCATACAGTGTCTCTTCTTCATAGCCTGGTTTGCTTCACTCAGCAGTAAATCTTGCGTATTCATCCACTTTATGTCAAAAGCCTGGGTCTTACTGCTTTTTATGGCTGAGTAGTATTCCATAGAGTATATGTGCCACACTTTTTTGATCCATTCATCTGTTTGTGGACATTTGGGTTGGTTCCATGTCTTAGCAATTGTGAATAATGCCACAATAAACATCGATGTGCAAGCACTTTTCTGAATAAGAATTCTTCTGTCCTTTGGGTAGATACCAAGGAGTGGGATTGTTGTTTCATATGGTAGTTCTATTTGTAGATCTTTGAGGAATCTCCATATTGTTCTCCACAGTGGCTGGACCAATTTACATTCCCACCAGCAGTGTAGGAGAGTTCCCCTTTCACTACACCCCTGCCAGCACTTATCATCTTTTGTTTTTTTTTAATCTTAGTCACTCTGACTGAGGTTAGGTGGTATCTCTTTGTGGTTTTGATCTGCATCTCCTTTATAATGAGGGATGTTGAGTATTTTTTTTATATGCTTTTGGCTATTCATATATCTTCCTTAGTGGTTTTTTGTTTGTTTGTTTGTTTTCAGCTCATTCTCCCATTTTTTAATAGGGTTGATCATCTTTTTTTGGAAAACTGCTTGAGTTCCCTGTGTATTCTGGTCCCTCCAGTATTTATTTATTTATTTATTGAGAGGTTTTTGCTATAGGGTGTATGCACCTGCCAGAAAGACAGAGAGAGACAGAGAGATAGAAAGCGAGAAATCACCCCCCGGGGTGATTTCCTTCTCCTCCATTCTCCTTTCAGAATCTTGGGCATTCATGCACACATACCCAGCGTGAGTTTAAGCCACCGGGTTGGGGACTTGAGTCATGGTTAACTACATGGGAGTCCAGTGACATAGCTATTATGCCAATTGCTGTTCCCCCTCCAGTAATTCTTTTTTTTTTTGGAGAGGTTTTCACGATAGGGTGCATGCCCTTGCCAGACAGACAGAGAGAGACAGAGAGACAGAAAGTGAGAAATCACCCCCCAGGGGGGATGGTCATGCTGCAATCCCTTCTCCTCTGTTCTCCTCTCAGGATCTTGGGCACGCACGCACACGCGCCCAGCGTGAGTTTTAAGCCACCGGGTCTGGGATGGGAACTGCGGTCGACTACGTGGGAGTCCAGCGACATAGCCATTACGCTAACTGCTGGTTCCCCCCGCCCAGTAATTCTTAACATAATTTTTTAAAAGAATTATTTAATCTAATTTTATTCATTGTCTTTATTTTATTTTATTTTTTTGAAGTTGACCAGAGAGAGACAGAGAAGGAGAAGGAAAGTGAGAAAGCAAGTTGCCAGGTCTAGGACATGGTCTGCCATGTGGGAGTCCAGCTGCCCCAACCACCATGCCACCTGCTGGCCCTCTTAACATAATTTTATACAAATTGAGGAAGAGGAGAAAACAATAAAACTAAAAGGAGTAGGTACATGAAAGACAAAATGAATTTTTAGTTGATCTTTTTTTTTTTTTTTTTAAGAGAGCTTTTTGCTATAGGGTACATGCACTCGACAGAGAGACAGAAGGTGAGAAATCCTCCCCCTGGGGGTTGGGTATGGCATCTGGTAGTCCCTTCGCCATTCTCCTCTTGGGATTTTGGGTCCACACACATATGCGCTAAGTGTGAGCTTTAAGCTGCTGGGTCCAGGACTTGACCTGCGGTCAACTATGTGGGAGTCTAGTGACATAACCATTACACCATCTGGTGGTCCCAGTCTTTTCTTTTATAGAACTTTTTTTTTGTAAGAGAGATTTTTGCTGTAGGGTGCATGTGTTCCTGGAGAGGCAGAGACAGACAGACAGACAGAAAGGGAGAAATCACCTTCTAGGGGGACGGCCATGCCACAATCTCTTCTCCTTCTTTCTCCTCTTGGAATCCTGGGCATGGATGTACATGTGCCCAGGGTGAGTTTTAAGCTGCTGGTCTGGGACTCGAACCATTGTTGACTATGTAGGAGGCCAGTGACATAACCATTACACCATCTGCTGGTTCCAGAATCTATTTTTTTTTTTTTTAAAGCCAAGAACAACTTCCAAAGTAAGTTAAAGAAACAGAGTTCAACGGCCTCTTTTACTTACCAGGAAAAATAATGACTTTGCTTGTCAAGTGATTTTTTTTTTTTGAGAGGTTTTTGCCATAGGGTGCGTGCGCTCGCCAGACAGACAGAGACAGAGAGACAGAAAGTGAGAAGTCACCCCCTAGGCGGGATGGCCATGCCTCAATTCCTTCTCCTCCAGCCTCATCTCAGGATCTTGGGCACGCACGCATATGCGCCCGGCGTGAGCTTTAAGCCACCAGGTCCGGGACTCAAACCGCAGTTGACTACATGAGAGTCCAGCGACATAGCTATTATGCTAACTGCTGGTCCCCAAGAGATGTTGTTTTGAGCCTCTAAGGTAATAAATAACTAGGACTATGATTTCAGTACCGCTACACTCTTTTTAACCAAGCCATCACTTCTGACATACTGTACTATTAAACTATTTAGTGGAAAATTTGTTTCTTTCTTTGTTTTTTTATTTATTTTGGAGAGAGATGTTTATGAAAGGGCACATGTGCTTGCCAAAGAGACAGAAATCTAGAAATCACCTCCTGGGGATGGCCACAGCACAATTCTTTCTCCTCTGTTCTCCTCTCAGGATTTTGGGCACCTACGCAGATGTGCCCAGTATGAGTTTCATACCCGAAGGTCCAAGACTCAAACCGCAGTTGACTATGTCAGAGTCCAGTGATGTAACCATTACACCATCTGCTGGTCCCAGAAATTTTATTTTTAATATACTTAGAAGAATCAGACTATAGAGATAGCTGTCCCATTTCTCCAGTTGATTAACATTTGATGTTCTAAAATGCTGTTGAAGCCTTTATAAAGGCCTGACAAAGTCAGTTTTGGACTATACCTGATAAACAAAACGTGCTAATTGTTGAAGCATGTGTTAAGAGCCACACTTTATTTTTTTTTAAGTTAATTTTTTTCTTTCTTCCATGAGAGAGAGAAAGAGAGGCAGTCACCCCAACAGTGTCTTCACTCCGTGATTCAGCCTGGCCTCAGCAAGCCCCGGTCATGGAAATACAGCGTGTGCCCTTCTATGCAAGAAGCCCCCATGTAGGTCACATCACAGTGTTGTTATCTCTCGGTACTGGCCCTGAGAGCCACACTTTTTTTTTAAGAGTTTTTTTGCTTTAGGGTGCATGTGCTGGCCAGAGAGAGAGACAGTGAGCAGGAAAGTGAGAAGTCATCCCTTCTCCCAGGATCTTCCGCATGTGTGCATACGTGCTCAGCATGAGTTTAAGCCACTGGGTCTGGGACTCAACCCGCATTTGGCCTTGTGGCAGTCCAGTGACATAACCATTGAGCAATCTGCTAGCCCCGAGCCACACATGTTAATGTTAAATTTCTTCACCAATTGGTAGTAGCATAAACTGTGTGAAGATTTTATTATACTTTTCTCTGAGGTCTTTATGAATTGTCATAAAGTAATAATAGTCATGAAAAAGCATTATGTAATTTTGTATCTATTTTAAGAAAGTATTTATTTCATGTTTTCTCCCTAGAATTGACTTTTGATAGAGTTAAACACCTTTTGGGAAAAATGTATAAAAAGGGTTTTCATGTTTTGATAACATTTCAAAGATTGTTATTATCTAGGGGTTTAAAGTTTTTCTGTTTCTCACGTTTTCATTCTTTTAGAAATGAGAAAGCATTCTTATTTGAGTGCTTGTATATAACTTAGGCTCTTATTTACAATAATGGAAACTTTTAATTAAAATTTATATTTGTTTAAAATATACCTATGAGGGACCAGCAAATGGTGTAATGGTTAAGTCACTGGACTCCCACATTGTCGACCACTGTTTGAGTCCCAAACCTAGTGACTTAAAACTCATGCCAGGTAGGGAACCAGCAGTTAGCATAATGGCTATGTCGCTGGACTCCCACGTAGTCGACTGCAGTTCGTGTCCTGGACCCAGTGGCTTAAAACTAACGCCGGGCATGTGTGCGTGCGTGCCCAAGATCCCAAGAGGAGAATGCAGGAGAAGGGATTGCGGCGTGACCATCCCCCCTGGGGGGTGATTTTTTGCTTTCTGTCTCTCTGTCTCTCTCTGTCTGTCTGGTGAGCGCACGCGCCCTATAGCGAAAATCTCTCAAAAAAAAAAAACCCCAAAAAACAAAAAAAACTCATGCTAGGTGCGTGCATGTATGTACCCAAAATCCCAAGAGGAGAATGGAGGAAAAGGGATTATAGTGTGGCCATCCCACCTGGGGACAGATTTCTTGCTTTGTCTCTTTGGCGAGTACATACACCTGATAGCAAAAATCTTTCTTAAGAAACAAAAATAGGGGAACAACAGATGGCATAATGGTTACATTGCTAGACTCCCACATTGTTGACTGCGGTTCAAGTCCTGGGACTGCGACTTAAAACTCTTGCCAGGCACGTGTGTGTGTGAGTCCAAGATCCCAAGAGGAAAATGGGGGAGAAGGATTGTGGCATGACCATCCCCCCAGGGTGATTTCTCACTTTCTGTCTCTCTCTGTCTCTCTGGCAAGCACACACACCCTATAGCAAAACTCTGAAATTTCATGTAGTCCTCTAAACTGTTCTTTAAATGCTACAAAAACTTTTCTAAAATAGTTGTTTACGCAATTTCATTTATCACCATTTACCAATTTAAAAAAATTGCTACAGGGCATGTGCATTCAACAGAGAGAGACAGAGAGATAGAGAGAGAGAGAAAGAAAGTGAGAAAGCAAGCCAGCAGGTCTGGGACTTGAACCATAGTCAGCCATGTGGGAGTCCAGCACCCTAACTATCATGCTACCTGCTGGCCCCACAACCCCACAAAAACATTTTTCAAAGAATTGTTAGCAAATATTTATGAATAGTCTGTATTTTCTATGCTCTAATATATAGATGGGTTATAGTATACTTAGTAGTTTTAAGTACTATTAAATTTATCAGTTTATTTGCTGTGGAAGATTCTTCATGGTGATGCATTTCAAAATATAGCATGGCTTTAAGTAGAGCCTGTATTAAGTCAATAACCATATAGCATGTGCTATAAAGTCTGTTCTGAACAATGGAGAATCAGGTGTCTTTTTGTCATTATTTGGATATTTTCTTCTCTAGGGATGCTTGGAGTTCACTGGGTGACATGACCAAAGAGGAAGCCATGATTGCGTACGTTGAAGAAATGAAAAAGGTAGGGAAAATGATTCACTGAAGAAAATGAAAACATTCAGAGCCACTTGAGTTTAATTTTGTTATTTATTTATTTTTATTTATTTATTTCTTAAAGAATTATTTAACTTTATTTATTGTATTTATTTACTTGTTTTAATTTGACTAGAGATGGAGAGAGAGAGAAAGTGAGAAAGCAAGCTGCCAGGTCCGGTACTTGAACCACGGTTGGCCATATGGGAGTCCAGCACCCTTAACCACCACACCACTTGCCAGCCCCAATTTTGTTATTTATTAAATGCTTTGTTTTAAGGAACAAGGAGACTGGAGTGTGTTATGGTATAGGACTTAGATTATTGAATTTATGAGGACTTTATCTGCTTTATTAAAATTTGTCTTTAAGGGGCCAGCAGGTGGTGTGGTGGTGAAAACTCTGGATTGCACTTGGCCAACTGCATGGTTTGAATCCTGAACCTGGCAGCTTAGAAAACACAGCAGGCATGTGTGCATTGCGTGCTCCAAATCCCAAGAGAATATTGGAGAAGGGATAGCAGTGTGGCCATCCCTCCTTGTGGGAGGGGGGCGCACCTTCTCACTTCCCTTCTTTGTCAGTCTGTCTCTTCTGGCAAGCACACACGCCCTATAAGAAAAACTAAAGAAAAAAAAAAGAAAAAGAAAAAGAAAAAAATGTGTCTGTAAGGATTTTTTTTGTTTTTTGTTTTTTGGTTTTTTTGAGAGGTTTTTGATATAGGAAGTGTGCGCTCGTCAGACAAACAGAGAGAGACAGAGAGACAGAAAGCGAGAAATCACCCCCCAGGGGGATGGCCACGCCGCAATTCCTTCTCTTCTCCTCCATTCTCCTCTCGGGATCTTGGGCACGCATGCACACGCACGCCTGGCATGAATTTTAAGCCACCAGGTCCGGGATGCAAACTGCGGTCTACTACATGGGAGTCCAGTGACATAGTCATTACGCTAACTGCTGGTCCCCAGGATTTTTTTCTTGTAAAATTCACCACATTGTGGTAATGTTTTATTTTTGCCATCTTCTCTATCCTTCTTTATAGTCAACATCTGGAAAAAGTGTAGGAGTATAAATTTTGAAAATTCCTTAATCAGGATTCTGGGAGGTACCTGGACTGTCTTGAAAGTATTTCTGCTTTGGATCTTTTTATTTAGGAGAACTAGTTGATAAGACTGCTTCAGTGTTCTCATACAGTGTTTTTTTTTTTTTAACTTTTATTATTTTTTTGGGGGGGGGAGTTTTTTGCTATAGGGCGTGTGCGCTCGCCAGAAAGAGAGAGACAGAGAGACAGAAAGCGAGAACTTACCCTCTCCTGGGGGGGATGGCCACGCCGTAATCCCTTCTCCTCCATTCTCCTCTCAGGATCTTGGGCACTCACGCACACGCAACTGGCGTGAGTTTTAAGCCACCGGGTCCAGTATGCAAACCACGGTCGACTACGTGGGAGTCCAGCGACATAGCCATTACGCTAACTGCTGGTCCCCTTACTTTGTATTCTGTACTAGGATTCCCG